AGAACTCTTCTGTTGCTGCTCCAATGATGGTTAGCAATATTCTAAAGAGGTTTGCTGAACTGAATTCACCACGACCAGGTACTGTACATGTCCAGTAGATATATTCTCTTCACCCAGACACCTGTGACAAATCTCCAGTGTAAAACTAAACCTCTCTTAAGTCTGAATTCTTCTTGGTTTCTATCTTACTTCTTTAGTGGTTACAAACTCCTGATGTGACAGGCAATACATAACTGAACAGCAAGTACTGGCAACACAGCAGAAAGTTGCACTGGTGATTCAGGCTGAGTTTTGCTGTTCTGCCCAGGTGATAGAATGCACCTCTTGTTGGCCCCAACTCTTGCAGCTCAGTAGTCACACTTCTTACCAAATGGGCCCAGAACGAGTCACAAGAGATGTGCTATGGCCAAGTGTCAGTTTTCATGGCTAATTATGAATTTATTCAGTAGAATATAAAGGGATGTTAAAATAGTTGTCAGAACTTGTCCACGTGCTGTGAGTGATGAAACAGTGGGTGGAGTGATTGTGTCCCCCTTTGTCAGTGTGTCCACTAGCAGAGGTGCACACAGTCCTGTCCACCAGATGTGCTGTGAAGTGTTTGAGCTAGGCTGTTCTGAATGTTCTTTGGCCTGTAGGTGACTGTGAGCAACGTTGTGCTTTGCTTTCCCTCTCGTTTGTCATGCTTTACCTTTCATTAGTCTCTGAACATTGAAGAGCAGGTTCTCTGGGCAGCATGTTGTCTGTGAGCAGTGCTTGGGGGTCCTCATACACAACAATAACTTTCAGTTCTGCTGCAGTTACATGCTGAGGAACAAAATCATTTTCTGATCACCCAGTGAATAGATTGAAGTTGTGAATCCAAAGGTTGAATTCTCCTTCTGCTCTGTACAATTATGCATCTCATTGTTCTGCAGTAATTTTAACTATGCTTGATGGATTATTTCTATTGCCAGAGCAATGTTTATCTTAAATTGGTGTGGTTATGCAGACATTTCTGAGAAGTGTGATGAGATTTAAACCCACATGCTTTCTCTGTTTCACATGTAGTCATAGTGTAGGTGAATAGGAGAGAAAATAGCCTTGAGGGCACGTGTGGCTCCGTGTAAGAGTTCTGTGTGTGTAACAGAGCTGGTGTTTGTGTAGCACTTTCATTTCAGAGTATGTTAACTAAACGTCAGGAATTGCTTTTGGAAGGTGCTTCCTCACCGAGTTCCCTTGGTATGGGAAGGGCAGATCCTTGCTTTGCTGATTGCACTGCACTAAGTTGTGTTTTAAAGTAAACCCTCCACAAAAACCACACCATAGGGAGCAACTGTCAAAGCTGCTCTTGAGGTTGCAGGTGAGATGTTTTCTCGGGATTGTTAGGCAGGTCAGAATGGGCAATTTTTGTTTGTCATGCAGGTTTTGAAGCAGTTTGGGTTTGCAGTACAGGGAGCAAAGTATAGACAGGGGGGAAAAAATGCATAGGAAAAGAGCTTGTGGCCTCAAGCAGGATGTTAGCCCGGCAGAGTGTGGCTGGCTCTGCATTCAGAACAATGAAGCTGTAGCCAATCTCCTGCTGGCTGAGCAGAGGACATTTCTAGAGTGGTTCTTCCTCCAACTTTTAGAAGAAAGAATGAGTCTGTATGGATTGGTTATTTATTTCCACTGCCCTGCCAAAGTGGGATCTTCAACTGAAAGCTGAAAGTAGATTAGGTGGCAGATTTACAAAGCAGTACTTGGAGTTCCCAGGTGCATATCCTTCCTCTTCTGGTGCTGCTGCTCTGCACCCAGGATTTTGGTGCAGTGCATTTGTGAGTGTTCAGTGAGGAAGGGGCAGGGCCTCCCATCATGCACATACCATACCACTGCCACTTTGGTTGTAACTCCTAATCAGTGTTGCCTCGTTTTGGCTGTATCTTTTTTACCTTTCTCTCTTTGTGAGAAAGTATTTTGTATTCAGCTTAATTTTCCTCCTAATAAAATGGTAGTGCCTGAAAAGTAAGTTCTTTTGGAAGAGTTTTCTTTTCAGATCTGTGGGCAAACACATTCTGCTGTGTTTAACAGTAAAATGTTGACTCATTGTCTTTCTGAAATCATTTTACCTATGGCTCCATGGGAAAAAATACTTTGCTTTGGGGAAGGAATTGTATGAACTGAGATGGAATCAGTGCCCTGGAATAACAGGTTTTACACTTGAGCTGTAAGTCTACAACCTGCAGTATGTAGTGGACATCAGTCTGTGAGGAAATGAAGGTCCCCACTGGAGGTGACTCTTAGAGAGGAGCTCGAGGGACTTGTGATGTTTCTTAAAGCACTTCAAGACTAAACATTTTTCAGTGTCTGGTTTTCAGATGGTATTTAGCCCAGATTTGTAGCTTTGATATGATAATGACTTGCCCGAAATAATCTTGGGAATCCCTAGCTTGGCAGTTCAGATTAATGCATCCCAACAGGCTCTGCTCTTACCTCTTTGCTCACTCTGTTGCTCCTTCAGCAGCAAAATTCAATGTCTTCTAATTGATGTTTCTTGAAATACGCAGGAAAAATTGAGCCCAGAGTGACCAGGGTACAACAGTGGCTATTAATTGTATTCTCTTACCAGGAAACAGTAGATGAAAATTACAACTGTCTGATCCTTCACCTTGTGTTGTTCTAATTAAACCCTTTTGCTTCTGTTGGTTTTAACTTCTCTAAGCTGTTCAGGATGTGTGTGTGGTTTTGCCAACAAGGTCTGGTCTCCAGAACTCGAGGTAGCTGTGGCTGGTTTTGCCTCTCTTTACCAGATCTCTCTCAGCTGTTGGAAACACAAGTCACTTGCTCTGTGGTTTATTTTGCAGTTTAGATGTTGAGGGTAGAGCCAGACCAATTTGGCTGGAAGAAACAGATTTCTGACTTTTGCCCAGTCTTGAAATTAGAGATGCTTCCAAGACTAGGCTTAGGACAGAAAACACCTTCCAGCTGTCTCAGAATTGAGTCTTTGGAAATGTTTCCGTTCATAATGAACGGAACTAAAACTTGGACAGGTTGGGAGTTTGAGTAAGATTTGGTGCTTTTAGTAAATAACATACAGATAAATGGGGACGTGCAGCAAACTAGCAGAGACTCAATCTGACATTCAACAGCAGTTAAAGCCTCAGAGCTGGTTGCAGTTGGAGCCATGTGCACACCCAGCCGAGCCCGAGGGGTTGGGATCGGGAGCGCAGTGCCCTGCGGGGCTCGGGGCTGCTGAAGGGCTGTGCGGGGCGCGATCCTAACCTTTCTCTTTTCCCTGTTCCAGGTGAATGCACAATATTTGCAGCCGTTCGTGATTTGATGGTTAATCTTACGCTGCCCCCTGGTGGGCGTCCCTAGACACTTTTAAAAGAAGGCTGAAAGTGAGACAGAACAGCAAAAAAAAAAAAAAAAAATAAAAAATTACATAAAGCCTTCGGTTAAAAGAGGATGTTTTACTTTACCTTTTTTTTTTTTAAGAGCTAACTATAAACTGGCAAACTTTCAGGGATGCACTTTCATCACATGAGTATCACCACGACTTTTGTATAGTGCTGTTGTATAGTGTGTTTTGATGGGAGACACTTCAGACTAGGTAATAGATTGAAGTATCAGCTTGCTGGTAATAGATTTAATATTCTGTTTTATACTATAAAGATTATGAAAATGCCAAACTTGTTTGTTTTTTCTGTTTTTTCTTATGTTTTGGTGTAATAGTCTTTTTTTAAGGCAGGTCTGTCATTTTTGAATACTGTAAAACTGTGACAAACTTTATATTGAAGCTGTATTTTAATATGACTGCTTTGAATCCTTAAACAATTTATTTGGGCTTGTTGTAAACATGTCCCCAAAAAGCAATATTTAATAAACTGGATTAAAAAATCTTGAACTGGATGTTGTATAATCTTAAACTGGATTCCTCTCCCCTGTACCACTTGGCCTGATTTCTTGTATTCACACTTGGCTCTCTCTGTATGTCATCTTGCTTACACACATGTGCTGCTAACTTAACAAAACCTTCTTTATTTATTCTGTGGGTTTGATTGGTTCCAAGTCAGAGTAGAACAGAGTTTGTTCATTTTCCTGGTTGCATACAGAACCAGTAATTACTTAAAAGAGTGCTCCCTTTCTTACAGCCACAAGGAACTGCATCTGTTCTGGCCCAAAAGCAAAGTTTAGTGGAAGAACAGGAGGGAAAGTTATGCCCAGT